GTAGTTTAGTTTAATCTCATATTTATGGATTTATGCTATTATTTAACTTCTATATCACTTCCAATACTTTATTTTTTGTGATCACGGATGACTAAGGTCTTAGGTCTAGGTCTAGGTCATGGACGGTTAGCGGGGTATGGACGCGTGATGCGTAGACAGAAGATGCATGTGACTAGAAGATGTATGGAAATGGTAGTACAAGGTAGAGGGGGAAAAGGGCGACCGAAGAAGACATGGATGGAGTGTGTGAATGACGATATGAGAAAGAGAGGAGTGAGTGTTGAGATGACGCCTGATAGAGGAGAATGGAAGAGAAAAATTAGCCTAGTGGAATAAGGTGGAGAAAAAGAAGGATGACTAGGGTCTTATTCATTCAGATTTAAATACAATCTACAGTCTCATTTTGTTAATTTATAAATTTGGAACGTAACCAAAGTCATAAATGGGACATCAGTGTCATATTAGCTTTAATATTTCTTTAACTGGCAAAAACCAATAGAAAAAATAAATTTAAAAAATAAACAATAAAAAAATAAACTTGAGGAATTTGTGATATAGAACCTTACAATATAGGCATCAGCAAAAGCTACAGTATGTATATTTTATTCGGTAAATGAATAAATGTCTAATGTAATAAATGTCACTAAATATTAAGTGAGACTTTTAATGAGAGAAAATGGTATTACACTATAAGTCAATTAATCAGTTATATTTAGCACAGTCAGTCAGATTGTTAACTGCACTCACTATCTGTATTACCAATAAAATAAGATAAACATCAGTTTAATTCAAAATGAGTGGGCTATAAATAGGGATTACAATACTCAATTTACTGATAACCATAAAACTAAGAACATAAGAGTTATCTATCATCTATCAAACAAACAAAAGACTCTCCAGTTTTCTATGACCCCTACAACATATTGTCAGTATAGGTATTTGTTGCGATATCATCACATGTGACTTTTTTCCACCACTACACGTCATACCCTAATTTAAGTATTGAAACAGATTATTTCTGAATTTTCATTAAGTTTCTCAATTAAAACTTCCTAATTTAAAGATGTGTAGAAGTATTTATATACAGATAGAGGTCTTAAGGAGGTATCTTTTTTAAGATTAATTGTGTTGCAATTTGTTGTGTTGTAACTTCGTATGTACTTTACCAAGGCTGCATGACTACAAAATGACTACAAATGAGTATTACGAATTTAGAAATTGAAAGAGAATCAGTATTTATGTCAGGCAATGCACATCCAGCAATGTGATATATAAAATTCTATCATATTTCTATCATATTTTTTTTTGGTCAGGAGGAAATCGCCAGACTTCCGCCCTTCCCTGGGGATGGAGGGCGGGGCATGTCGGAGTCGAACTGACTAAAACCTCCTGTCGCTCAACAACCCGCGTCCGAACCTCGCATGAGACAGAACCCATGAAAGGCAAAGGGGGGAAAGTGAAGCGTTTAGTGCGGAGCACATCTCTCCCATCACCCTCCCCCTCGGGACGCCGGACCAGCGGTCGTCGGCGCCACGACCACCAGCCCTCTCGGTCAGCAGGCATATTTCTATCACATAGTAACATTATGCACATACAATCTTAAACAGCAAAATAAAGATTTACCTGCTGTGTATTAAATTACGATTATGCGGAGGTCGATCGACAAAAACAAATGTAAAATTAGATTCACAATACGACAGAGCCGTTCATGTTATTAATTATGAATAATTAAAATTATTTGTCTTTCGTTTGATTCTAGAATTCATAGCCGCAGTACGTAATTACAATTACAATTTACTTGTTTCAAACAAAATTCGATATAAGCGAATAAGTAATTTTCTAGTAATATAAATACAGCCAAAGTTCAATTACGACGGGTTTTTTTACTAAGAATTTTTTATACAAACATTGTAAGTAAGCCGACTCGCTGGCTCATGAGAAACTTTGACATATTTTTTTTTTATATAAGTTTCTTACCGGATTCAGATACAACGTTTCTTGTTGAAATTGCGAGAATTCTTCAAATTTGTTAATGTCTTGAAATTTTAACAGTTCTTCGTACAAAATGACCAGCAATCATGCACATTAACACACGACAAAACATAAACGAGTGTCATAGGCCGAAGAAATACCTATTTAAGATTCTATTCTATCTATCTCTTTTTCAATTGGATTGAATTGAATTGAAGGTGAATTGAAGGCAATTGAAGGTTTTACCTGACGTTTGGCATTTAATGTTATCAGCCTTAATAATTGCCTGAAAATTTGTGGAAAGAAAAAAGTTCACACATTTTAAAAAGATATAATTAATAAAATATGTACAAATAAAACAATTCTAATATATATTTTAATAAAGCAACTTTGCTAGCTCCTTTACGCTTTGTTTAGAAACTTTTGAAATGAAAATTACAATGTTACTTATTGGGAATTATTTTAGCCAGAAAGATGAATTGTTTTAGTTTCTTAATTTGCCGTTTCTGTAGGTTTGTATGTTTAAATTAGTGGGCTATTAGCTGTTTCGCACTATTGAAAGTTCACGATTATGGACAATGAAACACTTGCCCTTACGAATCCATAGGATCAATTATTCTCAGCTAGAAGCTTTCAGCTCTAACACTAGGAACAGACTAGAAACCCTAGTAGCCGTATTCGTCGAACTCGGCAAAGAGTTCGACATGCAGCCTAACCCACACAGCGGGTCGCGATTCCGATCCGGTAGTAGATTCATTTGCTAAGCAGCTGCCCTTGAGTTGTTAGGTCTTCTCTGGAGGCGTTCGGACAGCCGATATCAAATCCCTTCCCTCCCGACTGAGCCTTTGCTTGCGCACCCGTCCTGGTCAAACTAGAAAGGCCTCCGGGCCACCAGTAATGGCAGTAATCCCTCTTTCCTTTAAAAAAAATGAAACAAAATGCTGGGTGTGATTTCTCGAGTTTTTCTTTAAAGTCCAGTATATTCCGTCCATTAGAAATCTTTCAATAATTTAATTCTTATGAAGTTTCATGTAAACCAACTTTTTTCCATTACACTCTTACTTACTTTCCCATACCTGAAGCTTGTAGAAAAAAATAATTAAATGAAGGGTAGCAATATAAGCCTTAAAATTATTTAAAAACAAGGCTTTAGTCTTTGGTTAAATTTGGCCCATTCTATGCTATCAGAACAATACATAATAAGAGCTGTAGCAAAAACACACCGTGAAACGATTGAGAACAATTTTAAATAATTTTGCGGCTAATTATTTGACTTATGACTAATGTTGTTTTTATATTTCAGAACTACGAGAAGTTAGGACGTAAAATAAGTTAGATTAGTGAAGTTAATTGATTTTAAATCTTACTTAACGTCCACTTACTACAATCGATGTCGAAATGAATGGCAAAATCGATTTCTCACCCGTTAATTTGAACAACGTATTATGATCCAAGATGCATGGTAATCGAAAAGCTCCCAATAGTAAGACTATCTAATTCCTTGGGCTTATTACTTGAATTGATTAATGATTTTGACGAATGAGGAATGATTTGTGGGCCGACTGATTCACTGTTACGTTTGTTTATTGGTTCTTCGTCGTTCAGGGGCATTTATTCGTGACTAAAAGGCTTCATTTTTCATATGTATTTTAAATAAATAAATAAATAAATAAATATTTACCAACAATCACGCCACGTTAACTGGTCCCGTGGTAAGTTCGTAAAGAACTTGTGTTACAGGTACCAGATAACGGAAATAAATGTAATATTTTTATTATACACATTAACCCTGGAAAATAAATTTTTATATTTATCATACAAATATCTTCCCTTGGCGGGATTCGAAACCGCGACCCCGTTGTGTAGTGACCATGTCACTTACCACTACACCAGACGGCCGTTAAATGGATGGATCTAGGAACTGACACCTATCATTCCCTTTTTTATTGCATAGATAGGTGGACGATATCTCATTTCTAATACTCTGACGGCCATATTTAATAATGTGCGCCCGGTGATACAATTTTTGGCATTTCTAAAAATTGCTATCCTTATTCGCGGTCAAATCGATTGCGGTAGTAGATTGAGACCAATTATGTGTTTTTCCAATCATAAGAAATCGATTAGACGATGTCGGCTTATTAAACTTACGAATTACGAACCATCAATGATTAAGCGTCATAAAACGTCAAACTAACAAGTGAACCACTGCAAAGTAAAGGTGTGGACTTTTGGCGGCGGACTACTTTTGGTGTGGACTACTGAATTAAATTATGTGAATGCTTTCAATTTGTTCTTTTAATCTTTATTCAGGTTCCAAATGTAGGGAAAAATAATCCTAAAGAATATGGCTTCTTGCGTTTTTCCAAAAGGGCCATCAAAGTCTATAAATCTCCATTATTTAAGTAAATGATATTTAATTTATTTCAATAATAATTTATAGTCAAATTCATTAATCATTTAGATAAATCCACCTTAAAAAAACCGCTCTATTTCATTTCGTGGATCCATACACTAATGAAGTTTGACATAAAAATCTTGAAATCTGTGTTGAACTTCACTACTATTTTAACTGTGACTTTTGGCGGGAACGCTTGGAGTGAAGTTGTGTGATTTGTTTTATTTTGTCTATTAAGTGTTTCTTCAGGTTTAAATAATAATAATGTAATAACGGTGGTTTATTAACTGTTTAATATCTGTGAAAGTGCACAAATGTGGGAAAATGAAACAAAGCCGCTGGACGTAACTTCTCGGGATCCTCCAAAAAGTCTAATGAAAAAGTCTCAGTAGATGACCACCATTTTACTGAGATTATATTTCATCCCATATCATCTCATCTCATTTCATTTGATTTCATCCCAGTTGATTAATGTCTCAAATCAATCATCTTCATTTCATTTCATCATTTATCATAAAAATAAGAAAATAAATTAAAATAAGATATGACTTAAAAGTCTTAGTTACCAGGTCATAAAATCCCTTCAAAAAAAACATTTTAACTGTCAAAATTGAAAATTTCAACACGCCATTGTGCGTGATAAAAATAAACACGTTTTCGCTAAAAAGAAATACTAATCGCAAACAAAGAGACTGCTAATATTTTCCGTCATCACTGTCCCATGATGGGTCTACCCGACCGAGGAATACCCGAGGACAAGCTCCCGCAGTGTTGGTACGACGATGTCCGAATGAACGCACTCTTCGCCCCGTTTCGTTTAAAAACCACCAACCCTGAGTCCTGGGACATGAAGATGAAGTTCTGGTCTGATATGCTCAGGCAGTGGTGTAAGCACAGAAAGGACCCTATAGTGTCTCCTGCAGACGCAAGAGCAGCGTTCCAAAGAAAAGGACGCACTCCGGCCTGTCTTGATATTGTCATCGAAGAAATGTTTCGGTTAGTGCAAATTATTCTTTTTTTTTTTTTATTGCCTAGATGGGTGGACGAGCTCACAGCCCACCTGGTGTTAAGTTGTTACTGGAGCCCATAGACATCTACAACGTAAATGCGCCACCCACCTTGAGATATAAGTTCTAAAATCTCAGTATAGTTACAACGGCTGCCCAGCCCTTCAAACCGAAACGCATTACTCTGCTTCAAGGCAGAAATAGACAGGGCGGTGGTACCTACCCGCGCGTACTCACAAGAGGTCCTACCACCAGTTGAAAATATGATATCAGTAGTTAAGGTATTTTCATGTTAGCGTTATGGCACGTGGTGAATAGAGCCTCTGAGATTCCCGCTTCCACTACCGAAAGTAACTTGACTGACACTTGCATTCCCGATGCCTATGGGGGACGATCGAGGAAATCTTTACTACTGAAGTTTATGAAGAATATTAACGAAATATAAATTTAATAATGTAGTGATTTTTTTTATTTTTCTTTGTTATTGCTTAGATGGGTGGAAGAGCTGACAGCCCACCTGGTGTTAAGTGGTTACTGGAGCCCATAGACATCTATAACGTAAGTGTGCCACCCACCTTGAGATATAAGTTCTAAAGTCTCAGTATAGTTACAACGGCTGCCCCGCCTTTCAAACCTATTGTATGCATATTTCTTCATCTACAGAAGCGGAGAGCTTTGTCCAATATCAAAATATCAACGAATTCTTCACAACGGGACCGAGGGCTGGGTACGTTGGACAGCTCGACTTGCTCTCAAACCTGCTGCACTTGCTCTCACAGCTGTCTCCTCATTTCTGCCTGCACGGCAAACTCTGGATAATGATGGATTGCCTAAAGCTAGTATAGAATGCACACAGAGGTTCCTACTTGAAGGATCGGTCAAGGTTAGTAACTTACTTTGAGATTTATAAATATTTCACTAGCGTAATAATTGTGACCTTCATAACTCATAGCCAAGTTATATATTTTTACACATTGATTTTAAGTAAACATATGATGTTGGTTGTATTTTTGTTGATTTAAGCACTCACGCATTATCTGATTGCACTCCACAAAAGTTTTCTAGCATAGTACACCTTAGCATAGTACACTTATATCATATTTCAAGTGACTTTTACAAAATTATTGATACTTCAGACAATATCGAAATTGCAAATTATATCTCTAGTTTTCTCCATTGGTACAAATTTTAAAAACATTGTGGACGGTAATATTATCCTGTATGTAAGCAGTTGATATAAAGTTCTTTAGGAAACCCTTGGCAATTATTTAGCAAAATCATACACAGTAGTAGTAGTAGAGTTCATCCGTACTACCTGGAGCCACAGCGTTCATCTATAGTGCATTTCCAGAGATTTTTGCCACGTACCATCTGGCTTTGGAATCAGCTCCTCTCCACAGTGTTTCCTGAGGGCTATGACATGACCTTCTTTAAACGAGGCCTGTGGAGAGTACTTAATGGGTAGGCAGTGGCTTGGCTCTCTGCCCCTGGCATTGCTGAAGTCTATGGGCGACGGTAACCACTAACCATCAGGTGGGCCGTACGCTCGTTTGCCTCCTCCTCCTCGAGTCGCGTTCCTCATGTCTGAGGGTCGTGACCACCATCACCCATGAGCTTCAATTTTAGGATCTTTTTCCACTTTCCCCTGTCCACGGCGTCATGCAGCGCGCTGTACACTGTACTGTCCAAAGCGGTGCGGATCTGATCGGACCAACGAGTATGGCTGCGGCCTCTAGATCTGTTGCCTTCAACNGCGGATCTGATCGGACCAACGAGTATGGCTGCGGCCTCTAGATCTGTTGCCTTCAACTTTCCCTGTGATCATAAGTTTTTCCAGGTTATCGCCGTCTTTCCTCGCAATGTGACCAAAATATTCGAGGATCCGCTTCAGACATACAGTAGACAGTCTGATTTTGATGCCCAGTTGCTTCAATATCGACACGTTAGTCCGGAAGGCTGTCGTTTGCCTACAAAGGCATTAAAAAAAACGTTACAATAATTGTACAGATACTAATAACAAATTAGAACCAAGTACATTTGGGAATAGTTAAAGTCTTGAATATCGAACCTAAACTGAGATAATCAACTGTCAGAGGTTACTAGGATTCACCTGCTTCCTATTAAATAATTAAACATTAATTAAAAATAAATTCAGGAGCTAGCAACAGAACTACTTCACACAAACGTACCTGAAATAGACCGAATCGGTACTATAGAAGAATTAATGAAGAACTTTGAGTATCAAGGTGGCAGAGAAGTCTTCGAAGTGCTGCTCGGTTGGCTGGTAGCTCAGGGTTATGCAGTAAAAAAAGATGAGGTTATTAAACTGGGTTAGTATGCAACATAACATAATATAACATAACATTATACCGGAAGACGTAGTGTGGGTAGACCTCCCACAAGATGGACCGACGATCTATCGAGGTTTGCGGGGATCCGCTGGATGCAGGCAGCTAAGGACCGGTCTTTGTGGCGAGGCTTTGGGGAAACCTATGTCCAGCACTGGATGTCTGTGAGCTGATAATAATATAATAATAAAGTATGCAACATTGTGAACATTTATAGAAATACATCATATCCAAGGTCGATGACCGTGGTGTCCAGTGAAACCTTTTTTTTAATATTTTGAGATATGATTTTGAGATTTTAAATATTGGATGTCATAACTACCCAATTATTATTAAATTTTTTTAATTGCTTTGATGGGTGGACGAGCTCACGGCAAACTTGGTGTTAAGTGGTTACCGGAGCCCATAGACATCAACAACATAAATGCCATCAACGTATGCCAACATAAATGACATGAGTTGTAAGGTCTCCGTTTTAACAGTACAACGGCTGCTCCGCCTTTCAAACCAAAACGCATTACACATTACATTATTCACGGCAGAAATAGGCAGGGTGGTGGTACCTCCCGCGTGGACTCACAAGAGGTACTTACCACCAGTAATTACGCAAATTAAAATTTTTCGGTTTTCATTTTTATTACACGATGTTATTCCTTCACCGTGGAAGTCAATCGTGAACATTTGTTAAGTACTTATTTCATTAGAAAAATTATTACCTGCCAGCGGGATTCGACTACCAATGCATCGCTACATACGAATGCACTAGGCGCCTTATCATTTAGGCAACGACGACTACAAATTTATTTTAATAATTACATAAAGTCTAACCTATAAATATATTTAACAGTGTGTAATCTTTGTGTTTCTAACAGAGATGCATAGCTCTGCCCTTCTTGGGCTTACGGTTACTCAAACACACCATGAAATCCACAAATAAATTTCACCGATACTTTTACTAACTAAAGCAGTTAATCGGTCAATGACTTGAAAGCTAATAGGTATTATAACTCAAACAGCTGAACCAGATAAGAAAGCCACCCCCGTGACAGAGTCAGATGAAGCCCTTGTGAAGCTAGTCACAGCTGAGAGGCACTTGCATGCAGACTCAACAAGACTGTCCCGAGAACTAGCAACTATTGAGAATGATGCTCGAGCTGCACTTCAGTTAGGTAATAGGATTGCGGTAAGTTAGTTAGAAGTGCAGTTTTTTTTTTCATAGATTAGTGGACGAGCTCACAGCCCATCTGGTGTTGAGAGGTTATCTGAGCCCATAGACATCTACAACGTAAATGCGCCACCCTTTTTTTTTTCGGGCCGAGGGCCGAACCTACGAGGTCCCCGCGCCTAGGGGGCGCACGGGGTATGTGAGACTCAACGATCTGCAGGTGTTGAGAGCAGACCGCGGGCCCAAGGAATTTAGGGCCCACCCACTAAACGACTCCCCTGCACCTTTACACCCGGCGTCCGATCTCCGTCCGGGGTAAAAACCCGGTCAGAGTTGGGGGGTTCCCGCGGTCAACACTACAACCAGACACGCGGCGCCACCCCGAGGACGCCCGACCTCTACCTCCTGCGCGGACTCATAAGAGGTCCTGCTACCAGTAATGTTCTCTATCTTGTCACATAATTGGAAGCAACCCCAGGGTCTAGGTTGGGCACTGTCTGTCATATAATCACTAACTGCACCTGTAAAGCGAAAATAAAGATATTGCATCTGAATCAGGATTACCCTACCGTCTGTGGGCCAGCGGAATTTTTATCCGAAGTCTATAGGGGATAAAAGTATGATGTTTTTGTGATTATTATTTTAAAAGTCCAAAGTGTTGCATATTCCTACTTTGAGTATCAAATTTTTAAGCTGTTAAGACAGAAAAATATGATGAGTTGAATGCGATTATTTTGTCGACAGTCCTTATCGAGACCAATAATCAAAGTTTAACATAATAAATGTTTCTAATTGCATTTTAAATTTTACCGTGGAGGTAACGGTACAGTAAAACCCAGCTGTCACTATGACCTATACGTATTAATAATTTTACATATCCCCTGCTTATTGATATCAGAACCAGGCATGATCTTTTGATGAAAATTGTTCATTGTCATTTCTATTCATTTGTTACAGGCCAAGAATCATCTGAGACGTAAGCACAAAGTGCAACGGAAACTGGAACAGTGCACGAAAGCTCTGGAAAACGTACAGAACTTACTACAGCAGATGAGGGATGTACATTTCAATGCATCAATTGTCGATACTTACAAGTAAGTTATATATTGTTACGCGCTGGGTTTCGGGATAAATAAAATTTCATCAAAGTACAACTAAAAACTGTATTCAACACTTAAAGCACACTCAACAAACACTTTAAAACTCTCAAGTCGCTTGTTCCGCTTCGCCTCAGGTGATCCGTTCGCTGTTTCGCTTCGAGTAGTTCCGATTACTGACTCACTGCGTGCCATCTCTACAACACTTTTATAATCGATACCACATCCCTAGAATTATCGATAATATTTCACACATCTCTAGTATTGTGTTTTCGCTATCTGACAATAGATGGCGTTGTACTTTTTGAGCGTTCTAGATGCTACTAGATCCTTCGATGTTCGTTCGAATATTCGGCGATGGATGGCGTTACTCTTACCGGCGTAACAATATTTTTGGGCTGCATAAGCTTTAGATCAAAGTATCCAACAAAGAGACTGTTCCAGGAAAACAGCCATATAGATATGTCATAATGATTTTGATCGCATTTGATCAATATTACTATAATACAATACTCTAAAGAGAAGAAAATTATTCTGATGTGTCCCGAGATAAATTATTACCTTACATTATAAGGCGCTAATGGTGTCCATTTCATTTTTGCGCATGCAAATGATATTATTCATATCAAGTACCTGTATCAACAGTATTATACAATAGCATAACTCATTTGTATCTAGTATTTTCCATTGAACCTCCTCTATGTCAGTTAGCGTAACTCTATCCAATTACAAATATTAATAATAGTACACACATAATACTACTACATTACACTATTAGTAACACAATATTCTCTTGGCTTATTGCGTATAAGTGTCTTATATTTTTTTATTTATTTATTGATATTATTTTCAGGACAACATCAGAAGCTATGAAGCGAGGATTAAAAGACAACGGTCTTGAGGTGGATACAGTTCACGACACGATGGACGATCTGAAAGAGGTATAAATATTAAGACGAATTTTTAACCTCATAGCTCTGAAGGTTGTTTTTTTTTCTGCCTATGCTGATAGCCTTGAGAGGTTATTTTTGCTTTACCCTAGCATGTAGGTGAGCTCACGGGGCTCGAACCGGAGTTATACTAACACTGGCCCTAGCAAGCCGTGCTTCGCAGAATCTACCACCGGATCGGAAACGCGACCCACTGAGAAGATCCGGCGAGAAACTCAGTGGGCTGTGTCTGTGGGTTAATTCGCTCGCCGAGTCCTTCGTCGCAAGCGACGGGTTCGACGAGAACGATGACCGGTGCTTGAGGTACCTAAAAGCACCGTTAGTGAATCGGGAGGATCCGTAATGACGTGCGTTGTTTTGTGATTCACTCAATATAATATGGATATGCCACATAATATGGATAGGTTCCGCTTTGGTTGCGGGTTGTGCTATTGTGGGTTCATCCATATCTCAGGAACTATAAGAACTTTTTATGAAAAGTATAGGACGAACTGTCAGGATCACTGTCGACACAGAGCTTGAGAGTAGTAGTGTAAATACAGGATTACAAGATCTCATTCATAAATGTTTTCTATTGGATTTTGCCTATTTTGAATTTACACTCTAATTAGAGGGCGTCCATTAATTACGTGAGGTGTTCGAGGGGGGGAGGGGATCAAGCTAAATCTTTCTAAATCTCACTTAGGGGGAAGGGGGGGGTCTTGGGAAATATCACGTAATTATATTTCTCGCAGAAAACGGTGTAGAAGTGCGTGAAATATTTTTTCCAGAATAAAATATTATTTGTTTGATATTCATTATTTAATTTTATGATTGTGATTTTAAATTACGGTAATATTCACAAATACTAGTCTTTGCTAGTCTTTAATAACAGTAATAGGGCAAGTTTTTTTTTCTCAATTATAATCCAACACGTTTACCGTCCAAATAGAAGTATTGAAGAATCTCGCGTGAGAGAGGAGGGGGGGAGGGAGTTGAGAAAAATCTTACGATATCTCTCCAAGGGGGGAGAGGGGGTCAAAAATTTTTCAAAAACGCCTTACGTAATTAATGGACGCCCCCTTACTACAGAACTTATCTTCACATCCACATTTACATCAAATATGTCTTCTTAGGTAATGGATTCATATAGTGAGATGGAGAGAGCACTTGGTACAACAATAGACGACACCGATGCAGCTGAGCTTGAAAGAGAGCTTAAAGAATTGCTGTCGGGACCGTCGGCGCCTGGTGGTGGAACTCCCGGGAAGGAGGGGGAAGGTAAGGCATTCATATTAGTTACTCTTTTTTTAAATTTGAACTTTAGTCTTCGATGGAAGGTAACTATTACGTGATGTCTTCCACGGTGAAGGTGTAACGCCTTGCATATGCTTGTAACCGATTTATCTTAAAAGAGGTTAATATGTTATAAAGATGACATAAATGGAATTTTGAATATTGAAACATTAGAAATATAAAAGCATTGTGGAATATTGAAATACAAAAAAAAATTATAAAAATGTTGTGTTATTATAATTGTTGCAAGAAGGCTGGACTGTGTATACATGGGTCGCTGTGGTGCCATCTCCCATGGGATGTTACGACAGTAATTCATTGTGATGTAAATATATCTACTAACATAGGTGTCTTACTAACAATTTGTATGAGTCATGGCTACTTACAATAAAAACATTATTATTATTATTAAAGAGAAACAACATTTAAAGCTACTGCTTCACCACTATTTTTATATTTTTTGTATTTCAATATTCAATCAACGGCCGTCTGATGTAGTGGTAAGTGACATGGTCACTACACAAGGGGGTCGCGGGTTCGAATCCCGTCAAGGGAAGATATCTATATCTATACTAATATTATAAAGAGGAAAGATTTGTTTGTTTCGAATAGGCTCCGAAACTACTGGACCGATTTGAAAAATTATTTTTCCATTAGAAGCCGACATTGTCTCTGATGAACATAGGCTACTTTTTTTTTTTTTTTTTTGGTTTCATGTGTGTTTTAATGTTTCCGAAGCGAAGCGAGGGCGGGTCGCTAGTTTGTATGATAAATATAAATGTCTTTTCCAGGGTTATGGATGTATATTAAATATATGTATGTGTATAATAAAAAATCTTACATTTATTTCCGTTATCTGGTACCTGTAATACAAGTTCTTTACGAACTTAGTACGGGACCAGTCAACGTGGAGTGATTGTTAGTAAAATATTTATATTATTTATATTATATTCCACAATGCTTTTATATTTCTAATGTTTCAATATTCAAAATTCCATTTATGTCATCTTTTTAAGGGATTTTATGACCTGGTTACTGAAACCTTTAAGTCATGTCTTATTTTAATTTATATTCATATTTTTATGAAAATTGATATTATGGAGTGAAATGAAATGAAGATGATTGATTTGAGACATTAATCAACTGGGATGAAATTAAATTAAATGGGATGAAATGTAATCTCAGTAAAATGGTGGTCATTTACTAAGATTTTTTCAGTGGACTTTTTGGAGGATCCCGAGAAGTTACGTCCAGCGGCTTTGTTTCATTTTCCCACATTTCTGCACAGATATTAAACCGTTAATAAACCACCATTATTACACATTTAAACCTGAAGAAACACTAAATAGACAAAATAAAACAAATCACACAACTTCACTCCTCGCGTTCCCGCCAAAAAGTCCATTTATGTCATCTTTATAACAATTAACCTCTTTTCAGATAAATCGTATAGAGGTTACATACTTATAAATAAAATCCAAATAATTTGTTTCATTATTACAGTGGTACTCATAGAAAAATGAATAATACCTGATTTTATTTTTATCTTTTAACGTTATAAACATTTAAAATAGTGAAATGTAAATCATAGAACTGAAAACAGATGGAATAAAATAAACATAAAAATAAAAGTCCGTCCGTATGGCACCACGTATTGGGCGTACTACCGGAGGTTTGGCCTGGGGAGTGGTGACGTCAGCGAGCGGTCCCCGGGCATCACGACACGAGGACATGCTGCACCGGACACACGGATGGATTGTGTCCTGCCTATTTCGCTTGTAAAGTCCGATTGAGGCTCCGATCTCATGCCTCCTGGTGGGCAGCGAGGCTCACGTGACGGCTGTGGGCTTCGCTAACCACACAACACCAGACGGACTCATCCAATGTCACAAGGAATTTTTACATTAACTAGTGGCCCCGCAGTAGTCGAGATTCGACTATAATTAATTGAAATTATAAGTTTTAAACATTATTATGGTTCTATTGTCAAACGCTATTATATTTTGATAATATAATCACAGTATTTGCCAAAACTGCACTATAGATAAATAATATTAAAGACAAACAATATTAATCTATTTTCAATTCGACCACAGACTTTAAACAATAACAAAAGTTTCCCAATTGACGGTAAACAAAGAGCATATATTTATGTATGTGTGTGTGTCAAATACATGGTAGTGTGTGTAATGTTTACTTTATTGATTTAAAGTATTTCTATGCATTATTTAAAAAAAAAATTTGCTATATTCTCTATAAGTGTGAGAAATTTCATACTCCTCCGTCCGCGCAATTTTCGTAAAAAGGGGTACAAAGTTTTTGCTTCACGTATTAATATATAAATCTTGTGAATCTAACAAGAAGCTTAATCATTTATATGGTTTCGATCATGGAATTATAATTTTACCTTGTACATACAGTTGGAGCAACGCAGAAGCCGGTCAGAAAGACATCGGAACGAGAATTCATCTTTGATGGCGAAGAGAGAATGCTGGCAGAACTGAATGACCTGGGTATAGAGGAGGCAAGTCCCAGTGGAAAGGCAGAGAAGGATAAAGAGAACAGAGTCAGGAGAAAGATTGCAGTACCCGATGGAGACTGGGAGGAGAAAGGTAAGAGAGTGTTCTTCTACTCATAATAAGCTTACTGATGGTAGGACGTGTTGTGAGTCCGCACGGGTTGGTACCACCACCCCGCCTATTTCTGCCGTGAAGCAGTAATGCGTTTCGGTTTGAAGGGCGGGGCAGCCGTTGTACTGTTAAAAGTGAGACCTTACAACTCATGTCTCAACGTGGGCGGCGGCATTTACATTGTAGATGTTTATGGGCTCTTGTAACCACTTAACACCAGGTGGGCTGTAAGCTCGTCCACTACTCATTCGGCTGTGATGAAGTTTACTAAAGGTTCTCGTGTATTCCGTACTTACTGGTACCTATCTAACTATTAGTTGGAACCTCTGGGACTGCGGTCTCTGCAAAGGGACTTCGGTACCCTGAGTATTTTGTACCGTATATTCCATGGGGAGTGCACTGAGGACTTGTTTCGAGAAGATACCATCATCTCGTTTCTACCATCGCACCGCCCGCCACCAGACTTGAGTTCATCTATACTACCTGGAGCCACTGCGGTCATCCACAGTGCGCTTCCAGAGGTCTTTCTTGCCACGTACCATCCGGCTATGGAATGAGCTCCCTCCACGATGTTTCCCGAGCGCTATGACAAGTCCTTCTTCAAACGAGGCTTGTGGAGAGTATTAAGCGGTAGGCAGCGGCTTGGCTCTGCTTATTGGCATTGCTGACGTCCATGGGCGACGTTAACCACTGATCCACAACACAGTTTTTTATTATTTTTATTGCCCTACTAGGTAAATGAGCGTACGGCCCATCTGATGGTGAGTGGTTACCGTCGCCCATGGACTTTAGCAATGCCAGGGTCAGAGTCAAGCCGCTGCCTATCGTATAACAGTTAAGGCTTCGTCAAACAGAACGCGTAATTAGCGCGCGTCAGAGCGCTAAACTGACGGCGCGCTATGACGCCGAGATGTACTGTACTACTATGGTAACATACCGTCAAACAGAGCCCCAACGCTATAAGTACGCAGCGTTCTGTCACGGCGTTAGGACGCTTTGACATCAGGCGTTGTAATTTTTATTTTATTTTATTTTAGCGTCCGAGTGAATGTGTGTTAAAATACTGGATAATGCCCGAAAAATTGATAGAAATAGTTAGGAAATACCCATGCTTATACAATGCCACATCTGAATCACTCGATATCTTCATACTTTTAAATTTTCACACTGCTATCCAAAGGCACTATGATTTGGCGAATGCGTTGCGTTAAGGAGCGTTGGGCTCATCTAGTCAATTTGTGTGACATGAAAAGAGCGCGACGTTAAAACGCAGCGCTAAATACGCGTTCTGTTTGACGAAGCCTTTAGTTAATGGCATTTGATTTAAAATTAAACTTTTGATGTGAAACCTCTATAGCCGCACGTAAAACCGACTGGCGATATTATGGTATATATATACAGTCTATATGCAGTAATGTGTACGGTGTGGCGACGCGTCGCCATGCGCAATCGACTGTGCGATTCTCTCCCACTCGATCCGGCGTTAAGCCATCTCTCTCGCTACACTGAGCTCGGATACCTATAGTGTATACTCCGTAGTGTATACAGTGCTGTTTACTACAGTACATATAACCTGTGTTTTACTTGAAAACAAATTATTTTTTCGTATAATTTTATTTTATCTTTATGACATATTTAGTTCCTATCACAATCTGTTCTTTTCTGCATATTACTTTTACAAAAGAATGTCGGTGTTTCACATCTGCCAGGCGTCCCGTGACGGCTCACATTTTTTTTATTGCAGAGAAGGAACCCGCAAACGATTTGGATAGTGCGAAGCAATCGAAGCCCTGGTACCCGCGCTTTGAGGAGTGTCTTAAAACGGACGCGGCTTGGCGGGACGCGGACGCCGCGCACGAGATACGAACCGACGATAGACTTCATCCGGGTAAGAGAAGCTTTTTTTGTAGCTTTTATTGGTCCAACACAACAGGTGGGTGGTCGTTCTCACAAACGAGCCGTCGTGGCCTAAAAGATAAGACGTCCGGTGCATTCGTATGTAGCGATGCAACGGTGTTCGAATCCCGCAGGCGGGTACCAATTTTTCTAATGAAATACGTACTCGACAAATGTTCGCGATTGACTTTCGCGGTGAAGGAATAATATAGTGTAATAAAAATCAAATCCGCATAATTATAATTTGCGTGATTATTGATGGTAGGGCCTGTTGTGCCTATTTCGGCCTTGAACCAGTAATGCGCTTCGGTTTCAAGGGCGGAGTAGCCGCTAAAAAATAGTTTATTCTCAAAGTGGGCAGTAAACAAAATAAGTTTGGGAGCCGCTGCACTAAGATATAAAGTGCTGTTTTATTTTAAAGATTTTTCATTGTTTAGATGGGTGTTAAGTGGTTACTGGAGCCCATAGACATCTACAACGTAAATGCGCCACCCACCTTGAGATATAAGTTCTAAGATCTCAGTATAGTTACAACGGCTGCCCCGCCCTTCAAACCGAAACGCATTAATTACTGCTTCACGGCAGAAATAGGCAGGGTGGTGGTACCTACCCGCGCGGACTCACAAGAGGTCCTACCACCAGTAAGAAAACCGTTACATGAAAACCTTACATTATTACTTCCCCATTTTTCTCTGGGTCTCTTACCGCCTCCCATTAGGCCTGCTGCAGGCCCACAAGGGGCGTTATCGCCCACTTTGGAAAAGTTTTAGTGACTCCATATTCCTTTCTATTGTTCAGGTCAGAAGCTGGATGTGGATTACACGAAGCCCCCTCGGCTGTACAACTCTGACTTCGCCGTGAAGGACCACCGACTGGAGGCCGGGGTGTGGCTCTACAACAGGCGGGACGCCGACGACTTCGCCTGCAGCACGGAGTTCTTCAGGTGAGTCCTAGAGGACGAGCCACGAGCTTGTGACGTCATTTGTGGTCAACAACGCAGTATAGTAGAATACGAGTCGTTTTATTGTTATCGAAATAACAGATCAGTTTATTGACGATTTTTTTATTACCTCCAACGCCTTAAGCGTTGGTTTTGTCAATGTACCGTAAAATGGGGGGATCAGGACACTTTATAAGTTCGACATTGATTTCTATCGTTTTTTTGTTGTTATAGTTATAGCAATAAAACGGAGATCAATAATGGTTCTGGTAGTTTAAATGCTCAATTATAATGCATTAAGATACAGTTTATTAAAGAATAATTGTAAAAAGTTGCAAGAACTCACTTGTCCCTACTCACCCAGGCTTTGGGTGAATCGTGTCGCTTAAGGGGACAGCAGCCCCCTGGCTAGATGGTGCGATGACCTCCGTACGGTGGCCGGCAAGAAGTGGATGAGGAGAGCCGCAGACCGGGCTCAGTGGTGTGGATTGGGAGAGGCCTATGTCCAGCAGTGGACGACTGTGGGCTGTTGATGATGATGATGATGATGAAGGGGACAATTGAGTTTTTCGATAGGGCTGGAACTGTTTAGTTGTTCGGTAGGTACCTAAAAATAATAATATAAAAGCTACCGCTTTGTATGGGCAGAAAGTATCTGTGCGCGTAGTGCGAGTTTTTCAAAATTCTCGTTCGCGTAAAAGTTAACTCAAATTTTTATGGAGTTGGAACGTTGCCTAGGTTTGCCGCTAGGGGCGCTGTTCCAACTGTATACAAATTTGAGTTAACTTTTACTGTATCGAGAACTTTAAAAAACTCTCAATAAGCACACTAATCCTTTCTGACCATGCAAATCGGTAGCTTTTGTATTTAAATATCGTGTGTCGTAGAAATCATAGTATCGAGGCTGGTAACACTTTCTTGCAGTTCCGAGAGTCCCGGGAAAGCTGCGGTTGGTGGCTTCCAAATGGCTCCCGGGGGCGAGAGGAAGAAGTCACAGCTCTCGCCTGACGAGGAGACCCCGGACGAGGAATTGGAACGAAGATTGAAGAATCTAAGGGGCTTTAATTAGTAAACGTATGTAGTCGAAGGACAGAACGAATGTTGCCATAGAAAAAAAATTTTTTTTTTTTTTAAATCAATATCTATGTATATGTCGAGGGGTGAAAGGTTGTTTGGTTGAAGCGATATTTTTGCAATATTACAGTAGAGCCATTTAAGGGCTTGTGCACACCAGGTTTTTTTAACACTACACACCACGCTTTTATTCTACAGAGCGGTTTGTTGTCGTTTGTATCGATACAAACGCGATACTGACGCGCGTCTGTATCGATAAAAACGCGCGTCGACGCTGCGTTTAAAAAACCGTGGTGTGCACACGTCCAAAAGTTTGAAATTTACAAAAAGTATCATAACAAAAAAAATATATTCTTCAACTATTCGAATTGAGTAAACATAATTGAAGTTCAATTAGAAACCAAATAAAACTGACCTTTAATTACAAAGATAAATGTCGCTTATAACTTTTCACTCCTCGATACATTGGAATTATAGGGGATACGTTCCTAAGTGACAAAATAAAAATACACTTTAGGCGTAGTTGTAATAAGGTCTAGTTTCCTTTTTTGTATTAGTCTTATTTCATGAAGCCTTCACAAAGGACTTTTACATATATATTGGAATCCTTTTTATCAATGTGTAAACTTAGGCCAACCAGACGAGATAATAAACGTAAACAAGCGGACCGTTACTGAGTTACATTGCGATAGAGAGGGATTATTATCTATGTCCTTATCACTCGTACGCGCAGTTATGGCGTCAGTTGGTCGACAACAGCTGTCGTTGTGTGTTTCGTGGTACAGGAAAGCACTGAGTACCGCAGCTGTCAGCATTTGGTCCGCCATTTTGTGAACAAGTTCATTCCTGTTTGGATCGCGTTCGAAGTGATACATGAGTCGTCTATTATCAAAGGTGGCAATCTGTGCATTTGGACAAAAAAAATTTATTGATATGTCAATACAGATTGATTTGAATATAATCGTCTCCTTCAAAGAATATGGTTCAAAACCTGCATTAAATAAAGGTTAATAGTTAACCTGTTATTTATCTAAGATGTCGTTCAGAAGAGTTTTGTGACTGCCAATGGAATACAAAGTCAATAATTCGTTTTTCTGATTTACCAATAATTGTCCAAAAGTCANATTTGAATATAATCGTCTCCTTCAAAGAATATGGTTCAAAACCTGCATTAAATAAAGGTTAATAGTTAACCTGTTATTTATCTAAGATGTCGTTCAGAAGAGTTTTGTGACTGCCAATGGAATACAAAGTCAATAATTCGTTTTTCTGATTTACCAATAATTGTCCAAAAGTCACATTGCCGGCTTTGATAATAGTCGACTCATATATATACTTTTATAGCAATATTGACAACATGATTGATAATACAATAGATAGTTTTATCATAAACACAGCTGACTCGGACTCTTCCGACGAATCATCTTTGTCTAGTACAGATGACAGCGATTAAAATTCGAACTTTGTAATAATTTATATTTAAATAAAAATGTTTTTTACTCCTCTGAAACTTTGTTTACATTTTTTATCTCGTCTGGTTGGCCTTACTTTAGTATGTACCGATATAGCGATTAGCTTTGCGAATAAAGAATTCTTTACTTGTGAATATAGGAATTGGGTCGTTGTTTTTTTTATATATTAAATACGCGCATAGTGAAAGCACAAATAAGGAGCTTTTGCTATACATTAAATAAATTGACGTAAGTGATTTTTATGATTAAAATAAAATGCTGTGTTATTCACTTCTTAATTGAAAATAAGTTAAATTTAGGTTAATATAAATAATTATAATCTATATATTAATACGTGAAGCAAAAACTTTGTATCCCTTTTTACGAAAATTGCGTGGACGGAGGAGTATGAAATTTTCCACACTTATAGAGAATATAGAGAAGAAGTGCACAATGCTAATATTTTTTTTAAATAATGCATAAAAGATACATTAAATCAATAAAGAAAACATTACACACACTACATACCATGTATTTGANCGCCAGGCGCGTGGTTCGAGAAGGCGCACGCGGGCCGCTATCCAGCCCACGCGCAACCTGCCCGGTTCCCCCGACGGTCTCCCGGGCGGAGGAGCAGCCAAGGAGGTGGCCGCCTCTACCGGGCAACGCACCCAAACAGAGCCAGCCCCGGTATAACCGAGGCGCAGCTCGCCTACAGTTATATTCTCCAAACTAAATTGACGTAAGTGATTTTTATGATTAAAATAAAATGCTGTGTTATTCACTTCTTAATTGAAAATAAGTTAAACTTAGGTTAATATAAATAATTATAATCTATGTATTAATACGTGAAGCAAAAACTTTGTATCCGTTTTTACGAAAATTGCGCGGACGGAGGAGTATGAAATTTTCCACACTTATAGAGAATATAGAGAAGTGCACAATGCTAATATTTTTTTTAAATAATGCATAAAAGATACATTAAATCAATAAAGAAAACATTACACACACTACATACCATGTATTTGACGCACACACGCATGCATACTATTTATTGTCAAACTTTTGTTCTTGACGTCTGTTGTCAAATTGAGAATAGATTAAATATTGTTTGTCTTTATTATAGTTTTTTATAGTGTAGTCTTGGCGAAATTTGTGATTATAGAAGTATAAATGACAATCATAATAGTGTACAAACTTACAATTCCAATTAATTATAGTCGAATTTCGACTACTGCGGGACCTCTAGTAAATAAATAAAAATGTGTACTACACGTCGACTGGTGGTCAAATTTGTATGGAGTTGGAATGTTTGCCGCTAGGGGCGCTGTTCCAACTCCATACAAATTTTGAGTTAACTTTTACGCTATCGAGAACGTTAAAAAAACTCGGACTAAGCAAACCGAACGAGTCGTGACGTCCCTATATCGAGGGGCGAAAGACTGTTTGGTTTAGGCGACATTTTTGCAACTTTATATCAGAGCCTTGTTATTTTCCTACCTATGCTGATAGCCTTGAGAGGCTATTACAGCTTCGCCCTAACGTGTAGGTGAGCTCACGGGGCTCTAACCGGAGTGTTGCTAACACTGACCCTAGCAAGAGCAGTGCTTCGTAGAATCTACTACCGGATCGGAATGCGACCCACTGAGAAGATACGGCGAGAAACTCAGTGGGCTGTGTCTGTGGGTTAGTTTACTCGTCGAGCCCTTCGTCGCGAGCGACGGGTTCGACGGGAACGATGACCGGTGCTTGAGGTACCTAAAAGCACCGTTAGTGGATCGGGAGGGTCCGTAATGACGTGTTGCTAAGACGTTGCCACGCGTTCGACATAACGGTAGAGATCACGATAGAGCGAGACATAATAAATCAATAAACTTCACTTTAATAAAAAAGTCCACCAGTACTGCAATCATTTTATAGCAGCCGTATAGATGTTATTTAGCCGTATTTCGGTTTGAAAGGTGGGGCAGCCGTTGTAACTATTCTGAGACCTTAGAACTTATGTCTCAAGGTGGGTGGCGCATTTACCTTGTAGATGTCTATGGGGTCCAGTAACCACTTAACACCAGGTAGGCTGTGAGCTCGTCCACCCATCTAAGCAATAGAAAAAAAATAATAGATGATTCTACTGTGAAATCAAAACATTGGTTAGACGTATTTATGAGACCGTAGAATTAGCTCGCATTGACTATATCGGCCACTAAGCAGTCTAGTTTTCTTTTATTTGTAACATCAATCAAACAAGAGAGCAGCGTAGTAAAGTTGTAGTTATAAAATAATACTAGCTGTACCCGTCCGCTTCGCTGGGCATTTAAAATTAACATTATTATTTCTCACCCCCACAAAGATTCTCAGTATTAACGCCTCCGCAACTGGTGTAGGGAGTCCAACGCTCATATAAATATTAGCCTATCCATTAAGTACATGTATTTTCTACATGGATACCAAGTTTCAAGTCAATCGGATGCATGGTTCAGTAGTTATAACGGAACATCCGTAAAAACCACTGTAGATTTATATATTAGTATAGATGTATGTGAAGAAAAACCTTTAGTATTGAAAACCTTTAAAACTTTCTTTAGTTTAAAAAAAAAAAAGATTTTTCTTAGGCAGATTCACAGACCTATCTGTCATCGAGACAAAAAGAAGAGTTTTGTTGTAACAAAATTCAATAATACTGTTTAAAAAAAAAAAAATTAAAAAAAACAGATGAAAGGGCTTTAAATGCTTTTTTTTATAATATGTTTTAGAGGTTTTAAATACTAAAGGTTTTTCTTTTTTACATTTATTTTAAGAGAGTAGTTTCGTTAAGAAAAATTAAAAAAAATAAAATAAAAAAAATATCATAAATATACTTACATATGAGGTCGTCAGCGCAATAGTGGCCTAAGCATAGCATAGTTATTATGGAGCAAACAATGGTTTAAGTTTTTATGAATTTCAATTTGAGTAGGAGGCAAAAAACAATACCCGCAAAAATAATGTTTACAACGCCATCTGTGTTTACTATGGGTGAAACTATGGATAGGCCGGTTTTGCATTAAAATTTGTTATATCTTAAATAAATTGCAATATACATAATTATAAGCATGATTATGAAAAATTGTGGACTAGGCTACTTTTGCGCTGACGGTCTTATATATTGACAACTATTTTTCATTAAGTATAGATAGTAATAGTATTTTATGTTTTAATAAGATATAAAAAAAAATATAAGACTTGACCTAAAGGTCTTAGTTACCAGATCATAAAGTCCCTTTAAAAAAAACTATTAATTATTTTGATAGCAGCTGATATGGAGAGTAGAATTGTAGAGTACCATCTAGTACACTAAATAGTGGTGGCGCCACGGAAACAAGTGGAAGGATTTTTAAAAAAACAGTGTCATAAAGTACCACACTTCACTCTGTTCAAAACTGCTATATTCATATCATTTCCACTTCCTGCACTAGCGCTGTTTCGGTGAGTCTTCCAGCAATAACTCGCTGTTTACAGGCGACCGCTTTTTCGACTTGTCCCCTATACAAGATGGCGCCTCTTACTTCTACCCTCCATGGTTATCAGTAGAAGACGTGATAATTCTTAGTATGGCCGTAGTTACCATGTGAGCTTATTGTTGGTAGAACGTCTTGTGAGTCCGCGCGGGTAGGTACCACCGCCCCGCCTATTTCTGCCGTGAAGCAGTAATGCGTTTCGGTTTGAAGGGCGGGGCAGCCGTTGTAACTATACTTGAGACCTTAGAACTTATATCTCAAGGTGGGTGGCGCATTTACGTTGTAGATTTCTATGGGCTTCAGTAACCACCAGGTGGGCTGTGAGCTCGTTCACCCATCTAAGCAATAAAAAAAAGAGCACACGTTGCCGGATGGTAAGGTCAGGTGAGTGGTTACCATCGTTCAG